AAAATAATCCAAAATGTGTCAATAAAAGATATCTCTACAACATTTATATGACCACAAATTGTATATAAAATAATCCTTTAAATTATCCGATTTCACATATTAAAAATTAATCGTCATTGTTTTTAACTACGACCTTCTATTGATTTGCTTTCGGATTTCATCTTTTCAAACTTGTCTTCTAAACATATACTTACATGTAAATTGAAATTGCTTTTTGTACATTTTATTATATCATACTTTATATTATATAAAAAATAATAAGGATAAATTGTAAATAATTGTAAAATATATACTTATAATGAAGAAGTGTTAGATAATCACAAATTACGATACTGGGCTCAATGCAACTTCTTTGAACCTTTTATGAACATGACAACCATAATTGTCACTGACCAGTATCATTCTAATAAGATGTTTACCAGACTAAAATCCGTACATTTTCTATAAATATTTTTATTACTAATCATTAAGTTCACTATTGATTTCCATCTTGCTACCGATCAGTTTGGCCCCTGAGTGGTTGGTTTAATTAAAGACCTAAGACAAAGTTGTGGGCGGTGGACTGAGATAAAGTTTTTGCAGTGCTCTTTAGAGTTTCCATTTAATTAGTGTCCCTTTTAAACAAAGGATGAAAAAATATTTACATAGCATAGTTGATATTTATCTCCTACACCGGAACATAGATCTCTTAGATGAAATATTTGGGATAAACATTTATAATATTTTCCGTAACTAACTTAAACACCATTAAAAGTACTTTACTATGTAGGTTAATATACCCCTTTCAGAAATTCACATAAAACGCTGCAGCCATCAAATATTCTGTGTAAACGAGGCATTCATAAAATATGTAACAGTGGGCTCGAAACCCGCACCGGGTCTACTTTATGCACAAAATTTTATTCTGCCAGTGAGTACTGATAATGTGCTCAGGTACGGTAAAATACGGCAACTTGCCTTATTGAGCACCACAACAAAATAGCAATGCATTATAGTCACGCTCCAAAGTTATGTGTTATGTATGTTGGCATAATTATCTTAATTTTATATATACAAGTGTAAATTCTACGTATTGTAATCGCCTGTGCTCCTTATACTTTATAGAGCTGCTCATGGTATTTATTGGTCACTATTTTTTTAATTGGAAAGGGAAACAACTTCACCGTCTACCTGACGGTAAGTGACAACCGTGGTCAATGGATATTGTGGTACATCACATGTGACGCCAAATGCCAAGTTGCCAAATCCGAGGACTAACATGTATCCTGTAATTTGTTCAGTTTCGAAATATATTAAATTTATAAGGTTAGTTTAAAAATAAAAATCTTGTCTCTTTCTTTTTAAACATTATTTTTTGTTAATTGGTTTATTTTCAATGGTCTTATTTTGAAGACATTCGTGTTTTAGTTCTTCAAAGTATATAAAAAGGATAATTAGATTTCTTTCTTACTGTGTTGTGTTTCTTAATCGTTTGTTGAAATAACCATTCTGTTTTTATCTTACTGGTAGTGTTAATTGGGAGTTTTAAGGTATTCTTTCTCGACAGTCATTCGTAAGTCATTAATTTTATCTTAAGATACACTATTAACTCCTATATTCTATAGCGTGAACAGGTTTTTATATATGTATATACAATGATAATGATTGATGTATGATTATTTTAGGCATATGTGGAAGAGTTTAATAAATAAATTCGACTGGTTGTTAACAACATTCCGACAGCAAAGCGGCAAGACGTCCCAAAATTTACTTTCTGAAAACAAATAAAGTGCTTATGTGGGAACGAGAGGCTCTTGATATGTTTACGCTGAGGTGTCTAAACTTTGTAATAATGTTGTAGCCTTATTTAACAATGTAAATATTCATTTACACCTGTCCCTTGTCAATTGTAAATAATATTAAATGTTAACCTTTTGTGTTTATATTGTGTATTAAAACAGTAAAAATATAAAATAAATATAATATACAAATTTTATTTAAACAAATAAAGGACTACATACATTAATAAACATATCATAGAGTAAATTGATATGATAAAGAGAACAAAAAAAAATATCTTGTATTGTATATGGGCTTTAATAGAAGTTTATGAAATAATAACATTCCTTATAAAGTTATAAACAAAAAATTATGATTATATAAACTAGAATTCAATGCTTAGTACGAGTATATCTAGAATACAATGTATAGTATGTGTAGTATAAGGTTCTTATCCAGAATTAAGTGTCGTATATCAGATAATAACTTTGAATTGGTCACCATTTACCATTAGTCCTATAAAAATATTAACGAAAACGCGTTTATACGAATGTAAATTAGATCTACGTGTGGTTTAATATGCAATTATTCCAACATGCGATGTCAGTTATCCATAAACGTTTGCCTAAATGTCCGGCGGATTAATTCCGCTCTAACCCTCGTTAACACGAAATTATTATCGACAGTATTTCCCAGAATATTAAGTTTAAATTGAGTTAATAATATTCCAGCTGCATTTTGTTGCTTATTAAAGTTCAGTTCTCGTTATAAAAGTGGATGAAAACCGTAAAAATAAAAGTGCACAACTTTTTATGAGTATTACGCTCGGTGATGAAATTATTTTGCTCAGGAGAATTGTAGCAAGTATTGTTAGCAGTTTTATCGTTCGAGAAATTAATCTAATCTGCTTTGTATTTCGAATTAAAAAAATATTATACTTATATTTTATTCTATTGAATTTCACTAAATACTGAACTAAGTAATATTTCTTTAATTAGAACGTACGGCAGTGAATAATTGACAATTAAAAATAAAACCAATTACAGATTCTCAAAAAGTGGATGCGAATGCGCCGGTCTTAATAATATAATAACTTTAACTTTATTTTTTACCATTATCAGGCTACTGAACGGCTAATATTCCTAACTATGAGGCAAACGATACAGTTTTTGAATTCCTTATTGGCATCGATACGGAACATATTTAATGAGGTAGAATGTCGAATACGTTGTCAGAGGTATCTCTGTGAATAAGTGATAATTTCAGCCGCCAAGTATGTAAGTTGTGTTTTAGGGGGAGTGAAATTACAAGAAAAGAGGAATGACATCTTATCCTCCTGAATTGTAACGAATTAGTGGTATCATATGCTTACGTGATGTTCGTTTTGCAATTCATGTATGTATATAGGAGACGGTTACTACTTACTGTTAGGTTATTATAAATAAGAACCTAATAGTAAGTAAACCTAATAATATAGTTACTATAAATCACAGATAATATAATTGCTATAAAAGATTATAAGTAGCATTTTTAATGAGTACTAAAAAGGTACTATTTTATTAATGTAACATTTGCAGTACCTATTTATTAAGTGTCAATAATGTACACTGAATGAAACGAATGAACACTTAATGAATAAACCCCGTATGGATAAGCCATGATGTTTTTCATTAATTGAATTCGACAATCAATTTGTTAAAGGGCCATAAAAGCGGTTTTTTAATTAAAAACTCAGAAATTGTATTGTTCTCCACAAACAGAGATACCGATTATTACGATTGAATGAAACAATTACTGATTAAACATTTTTTTTTGCATTTTATCGAAGCCAATGGGCGCCTGAAACACTAGGAGTGTCACGTGAACATTACTGACCATTATGAAACCTCAATATATCCTTTTTGAAAAACCCCATGTTAAAGTCTCTCGAAAAATTCTCGGACGGTAGTTCATTCTTCAAGTACTGCAAATTTATAATGCGACTTGAATTGTATAAGATTTCTCCAAAGTTCTAGTGAGGGATGTTCTCGTCTTTGTGGATCCACAACTGTCTAATGGCATACTAATTGTTTTCAAAAGGGCAAACAATAGACTTCGGCCTTGGTCTGTTTTCCTTAGTTACCTATTGTCTCTATTAGAAAGCTTTCATACAAATGGCGCTTTATTTTTGTATTTACCGGGAAGAAATCTGCATAAATAAAATATTTTCCATTGTTTCTTTTCTTGTTTGCTGTTACTTTGATTTGTAATTGGGGAAATATAAAAAGTAATTCAATTACAAACCATAAACAGATCAATGCAAAACATTTATTTGTATCTCTGAAACGGGTTAGTTTATATTGGTGTAATTTTCACTAAAATTTTAGTGTATCAACGAAAAAGTTATATAGAAGGTGTGCTACCCTGCGACATCTTACCTGCGTATATGAATATTTAGAATTAGAATAATAATAAAACAATGTTAGTGGTATTTCGTAAGCTGTATCAGTTTGAAGGATGAGTTGCTACCATAAAAAGAGTAATCACCAGGTAGGCCTACTATAAGAATTGTACAAGTCTGAGATTTTTGGCCTTTTCTGAGTACAAGAGACTTTCATCTTCATACAAGTTTGTACGAGGTAATAGGTTAAAAGATGATAATGTATGAGGTTTGTACGCACTTTCACACGGGAATCGGTATAATATATTAGAGAAAAACAGAAAGAGAAGGACGCGTACCACCTTCTGGCGTATTCTCACGTTATTCAATCGTGAGTGCTTTAGCGTCATTTATAATAATTAATATTTCAAAATGGACATCTGATTACAGAGTTAATGATAATTTATAAATTTTAAACGTTTCTTGGAAAAATTTAATCTGTGGAATCACACACGATTGCGTGTTGGCTTTCCGTCGCCAATTCGCTCCTGATGGCGCGTGATAGAATGTGTCGTGTAAAGCGTCCAGTTAAAGTGAGCTTCATATGAGACCAAATGTTTTAAGGTTGGCAACCCTGGTGTGGAGGCATCTTAGTCCTTCGTAATGATACCTAACGAATAAAGTCACCACGTACGTTATCATATGTCATGATGTTCCTGGTGCTGTTCAAGTACTTACCATAAGGTAAGCTATATACTTTATTGCCATTCCAGTAAAACAAATAATAGCCTTTTAAATTTAAATTTAATTTATGAATAGTGTAAAAAACAATGTTAGTTGGACATTATCAAATCATTTAATAAATTTATATAGTAGAACTCACCTTAATAATAGTATTTACGTGAAATACTCCAATAATACCGATAAGTTCCATTTACCTGTAACAAAAATATAAAATTATTATTAATAGCACTTTGGAATACAAATTAATCATGAATAACAATGACGAATGATATTTTTTTATATTGATTAGCAAATTACGAGTCTTGGTGTAGATTTGCATGTTCGTTGTCGATAATGTATTAACATAAAAGTATGTGATATGTATAAATGCATAAATTAATATCTTGACATTTGGTTTCCTCTGCCTATTTTGTATAGTAGGTAATCATGTCGATAATGAAGATAATATGGGAATGTTGCTGATACCCAGACAAAGATATCATAATGTTAATTGATCGACTGATGCTGGGGCAGATTGCTAGCTCTGTTCACTTTTTTATGGTTTTAATTTATACGGAGGCTTATTTAATAATTGAAATTAGGATAGTTCTATCACAGATAACATAATTTTACATAGTAACTACTTACAAAACCAGCTGTTTAGCAGTTGGTTGTAAAGTTGTAAATTTAAAAAGTAACTAGGACAATTGAACGTACTTAACATTCATCTATTTAAACATAAAAGTCATGTAAGAAAAGTACCTACTTAGTGGTTAAACATCTAAAATTGTATGTTCTAAAATAAGTCCTGAGTTTCCAGGTATTTAGGTACAATTACAAACAATGTTACCGTCAGGACTTATAGGCTAGACTATAAATAATGCATTTTTTTATTTATTAGTAAACCTATGAAGAAAAATAATTATTTTCATTAAGTTAACTGATTTAATTGAATATTAGATTTTTTTTAGTTTTATTCTATATGGGTATAGGTAAAAATAAAATACAGAAAAATACTTGGAATACAAAGCCATATTATATTAGAAACGATTGACAAGACAGTGAAGTGATAAAAAGAAATGTACTATATAAGAACTATAAATTTAAGTAAATATTTAGAATAAAAAATACATTTCTGATTAGCCAGTACAGTAGACAACAGAAAAGTCTATTGGACATTCCATTTTGTTCGATTGAAAAATGTACTATATAAGAACTATAAATTTAAGTAAATATTTAGAATAAAAAATACAGGAGACTATTCGACATTTCCATTTTGTTAGAAAAAAGGAGACGCACAATTTAAAGCAAACATGTTAATTTAATAAGTTCCATTTTCTTTTTGGCGAAGACATAGCCGGAGTTCCCTAATGTATCAGGTATAGTGAATAAAATATTTATTTTTCATTACATTTAAAATAAGTAATTTATTTGTTTACATTATAAATCAATATATTTATGCTGATAATGTGTTTTAAGAGTTTTGTAGTCATCAGTTATTACATTTTGATAGCCTCGTTGGTCTAGCGGTTGAGCTCACCAATTTACTTACAATGGTTGCGGGTTCGATATCTCTCACGGTACAAACATTTGTATTCATGAGTATGATTGTTTGTATCGGTCTGGGTGCTTTCTATGTATATTATATTTACAAAAAAAATATCTATGTGTTTATATCAGTTGTTTAGTATCTATCCATAACATAAACTTACATTGGGACTAGATGACGTTGTGTGAATTGTTTATGGGGATTAATATTACTGTTATTAAATTTAGAGAAATCTGCGTAAATAAAGTACCTTATGTTATATTTGATGTTTACGAAGACAGTATAAAACAAAGATCCATATATAGTCCATTGAATCTTTTAGTCCATTGGAGTATATGCCGTGTAAAACCAGGTCATGCTTAAAAATCAACACAGCAACATAAAATCCCGGGAATATCGCAGCAAGGAATCCAAAGAGCGCGAGCTTATGTAGACGCCAGGTTGTAGAATAGGCGAGTACATAAATATATATACTACGTTAGAGTTTAGAGTACAACTTTACTGTACTGTTCTATTTTCAAATATAAATATAATATCTAACAATAGTAAATGTATAATAAATAATAATTTTTATTTATAAGTATGTGTACGTTTGATAATAATGGTTGACAATAAAAAAAATATTCCTTTCTTTCTATTTCTTAAATAGTACAGATGCGTGACTTTTACTAGTATTAGTCATTCTGAATAGTCTTCTTAACTATTTTAGAAGTTTAGGAACGGGAGGAAATTGATTTATCTTGACACATTCCTGCTTCGCGGTTCAGTTGGAACAGTTGGACAAACGAACTCAGCCTAATTTTATCTTCTAATTAGCAATTAGTAGTTATTTTCATATTGAAATTGTAAGCTTGTATGTAATATTATGTTATCTGTGACTTGACTAACAAAATCTTTCCAAATCGCGTATCAACTAATGAATTCTTATATAGAGATATTATAATTTAAAATGTAGGTGTTTACGAATTGTATATTTAACCACATTAAATGTATAAGATCCATATATATTCTTAACTAGTCCTTTGAGGATACGGGATGAGCATAATAATATTGAAATAGCAGAAAACTACTTGAAAATGTAAATGAAAATTAACTGCGATACGGTTACATGGGAGGCTCCTATGTGGTCTTGACTTTGAATTAATATTAATACTAATCGGCTATCAAATAGAGGAGATTTATTCCATTTCATGAAGTTTTTGAGTCCACTACTAAGTATCATTACTAAATATCACGCTCTCTCTCTATCTCTATCAACTTCAAAGATTCTGTTTGCAATTGATGAGTTTACTACCACGTTATTGTATATTTTATCGCAATTAGAGGTGGTTGCTTTCATGTATCAAAATCTTAAATATTTCTAGCAGAATTTTCCGCCTTTTCGGTATTCTTATGTACATTGTACACAACCCTTTTCGAATACCTTTATGTGCCGCCTATTAGACTCATAAAACGTCAAAATGGGTCGTAAAGATAAACAACATAGCATTAAATTTATTGACTTTGGTTTTGTGAGTCTATAAAATATATGTATTAGTTCAATTTAGCTAATGAGTCGCCATAACGTTGGCATAGGTTTTGACTACTCTACTTAGGTTTTTTTTTAATGGATATTAATGGAATGGTGCACCCGACTGCGCTAACGATATACGCTGGCGGGGCACCAGTGAAGGATCATAGGATGAATATGAAGTTAGGCCAATTCCCATCATGACGAATTCACCAAGATTTCACTGCGATAATTTCCAGGGGGAAATCGCGTAGAGGTCCACCCACATGGTAAATGGTTAGCAATGGGTCTACTATTCCCCATTAACAATCTTTCAACAACACAACACACACACAATCCCTTTCAGCCATTACCTAAAAGTACAATCCTGTAAATATTTGTTATAGATACATTTATGTTATTGCGAATAATAATTTACCTTCAGGACTCGTATACGACATCATGGTCAACGTAATACTTACATGCCCATTCCTCTGTGTACATTTGAATCCAACGTGACAGAGACGAGTCATTTCACGTTGCAAACATTTGTATTCATAACTATGATTGTTTGTATCGGTCTATGTGTTATATATGTATATTATGTATGTATTATAAAAAAAAGAAGAATAAAAAGTATGTAAGTATTTTTATCAGTTGTCTAGTACCCAATACACAACCTCGGCTTACCATAGGACTGGATGGTGCTGTGTTAATTGTCCAGGCTTATAAAAAAAATGAATACTCGTCGTACTCATATTTGGTAATATTGAGTTTGCAATTGTAACTGTAAATTTGCAATTGTAACAGTTTGCAACTGTAAATAGATATAAGTGTCAGTGTTAGAACCCAGTTCTCAGAGTGTTTGAACGTGATGCTCGACTTTGTGAGTTTTATTTTAAGGTTTTTATTTTCAAATAAAAATAGAAACCAATCCGGAAAAAAAATATTTCTGTTTAAGCCCACCCACGTTCAATTGATGTTATTGTTTTTAAGGGTTTAGTACGGCTTTGTTTTGTATGGTATTGTTTGAGCGTATATTTTTTATTATTATGAGTATTTTTATTCGTTTTATGTATGGGAAAAGATATATATAGACTTATACGTAACACTGAATGTGTCTGACTTGTTTGCCTGCCCATTTACTGAAAAATTATTATGAAATAATATTATATTAAATTCCGTTAATAACCTTCCAAAATGTATTTAAGTACATATTTCTATCAGTTGTCTAGTACCTATAACACAAGTTCTACTTAGCTTAGGACTAACTGACGAATTATCTTAAAATTTAAATATATTAGAAGTATTGATTACTCTAACTACTGGAATTAGGGTAGTCTTTATACATCGTTCTTTCGTGTTCATCGTAGTTATTACTTCATTACTTCTAAATTGAAGTAAACAGTATTGTGAATACTTTTGAGTAATTTCTTTTTGTTATTTAACAAAAAAAAATTACTATAGTTTATTTAAACAATAAATGATTTGTATGCAAGGAAAACGAAAAATAAATGTAATAGTTAACGTAACGTTAACGTTACTTATTATCTATTATTGTAAATAAAAGTATGTCTGTCAGTTTGTGTGTCACCTTTTCAAGATTAAACGACGAATGATATGAAGATAGAAAATATCACAAGGAAGGACATGCGTATCTTTTGTCTACAGTGAAGAAGTAGAAGAAAGTCGCGGGTAGTAGTTAGTATTGTAGATAGAAATCTGTGAGTGATCAAGGCATTAAGGGACGTTTTAATATGTACGCCGTGGGATATGGCGTCAGTAGCTCTGACTTATGGCCCATTTAGAATTACTTGGTAACTCCCAGCTGAATTTACTGAGAGCATATTAGTAAATGGGAACATGAAACGTGCTTACTTACTTAAGCAGAAAATGAGTAGGTACTTGTGTTAGATACTTTAAAATAAATAACAATAATCACGGAACAATTTACACAGCGCCATCTAGACCCAAAATAAGCTAGCTAAAGTTTGTGTTATGAATATACACTGATACAAATATATAGTTTTTTTTTGTAAATACAAACATATTATATATAGTAAACACACAGATCGATACATACAATCATACTCATAAATACAAATGTTTGTGCCGTGCGAGGAATCAAAACCGCGACCACAGAAGTAAAGGACACAGGAAGCGGTGTGTTAAACGGC